CTAAAAACCTCTTATAAAAAGTTACAAGAATCTTAAAAATCAAGACGGTGCTCTAGTAAGTTAGGTAAGGAAACCAACAATATTCATTTTTCCTCTTCCAGTAAAAGCAAAAGTAAACATGATCAGTACTAGTTAATGCTGTGAACAACATACACATGAAATTGACAGATTAGTTTTCCTCTATATGTCCATAGATTAGTTTTCGCAAAAATAAAATTGAAAAATACATCCATAGATTCATACCTTGCTCTCAACCCATTGGTATACCTGAGTCTTTCTTTAGTAAGTGTACAGAGAAGATGGAACCAAGGGCCTTTGCTGCTAATGTTACTAAATATGGCAAAATTAATTTGGTAAGACCCATCTTTATCAGCTGTAAACTATTACTCACATCTTTATATGGAAACTAAGGTTGTGCAACAGTCCTATGTTGCGTTAGGTTTTTATATATGTTTATCTTATGATGTAAGTGGGAATGGTACTGGAATCCATGCACTTTACCGACAACAGGATAATTAAATCAAGAGGCTAAACGCAACCAACAATCCAATTGGTTCACTATGGCTTGGGCAAATCTAGTTTCCACTAGTAGTCAGATAAAGCAAAGTGCGAGATCTGCTTTTCACCTGCAATCCTATAAAGTACAATGATTAACAGCAACAGATAACTTCCGCACTTGACTTCATATTGACTTCGGTGGGTTTCACCTAGATCTCCAACAAAAATTATCTCTTGAAACTTTTCTTTCGTCCTTTTAGTTACTCATAAAGAATTTCGGTGCATACATGTACAAAATGATATATTTTTTGTATAGCTTTGTATACGAACCAAAGAATGAAGGGATTAATTGAATAGTTCAGCCAATAAGTTTTCTTTCCATAATGTCTAGCCTATAATTTAATCAACTTAGGATATTTTGCCATCTTAGATGGTGAAATTTCTGTCGATTGATACATTTGGCATGTTTAATTTGGAAAATACTAGACCTTAATTAGTTTATTCATTTTCTCATCTTTCCTTTAAATTTTATTTTTCCTTACCCAAGTTGTATAATCATTTTTGTTATTATATCATGCTTTTCGTATGTCCACATTCAAATAACTGCCATTAAACAAAAGAAAATTCCATCGTTAACTTTATAAACTAGAGCCTAGAGGATACCCCGTGCATTGCCACGGGAATTGGTTGATGAAAATTTGGGTTTATAACATGAGCACCAAAATTAAACATACATATGACTTATTATATTGATTTATATTGCTGTAACAATATTTATGGAATATAAGTATAGTAATTGAATGGAAAACATTTTCCCTTGCATGGTTGAATGTTGTGGTTGGTTTTTTCCCATGCATGTTGAGGTGGGCCTTATCCCCCTCAATTATATGGTGAGGTGGCATGCTTGTATGTTGAGATAAATAAGTTAGTGGGGATGACTCTCTAAGGTATATTGGATTTGGATATATATTATCTTACAATGGCTCCGTTTAGTAATACGGATGAAAAATAGTCTCGCCGTTCTTGTTCTCAGTGCTGTGATATTAGTAGATATTTTCTTGCAAGAAAATATCAATTTACTTGGCATGTATAACTCGGTGAAAACACCCCTCATTCGGACAAATCCATATAGCTGGTCATACATGCATGCATGGGTGTACAGAATGACCATTTGTGCATATCTTGGTACACCAAACAAATTGTACCTTCGAGAAATTACACAAATTAAATCAAGCTTGGAATCATACAGAAGTGCCAACTAATGATATATGTATACTACAAAAGTGTGAAAATTCTTGAACCAGAGGAAACGACACGACGGCTACATACTCATATACAATGTGTACGTAAGACCCACATGCATTAGACAACCACATATAAACAATATGGAGGTTTTCCTAATGAGCGCTTGTTTGGGCATATTCTTTTCGAGATAAGACAACTTGCATGGTTTACATAAAACGAGAAAAGATTAACATAAATACATACGTACTTGAGGCTTGATTCATGTCTACAGTATTATCGTACACATCCGATCAAGTACGTATTTGTTTAACCCTTCACTTTGGAAGGAAAGGAGATACTGAATGTTGTGGTTCAGTTAATCTTTCTAGCATCAAAAAGTTTTTAACATCAACTACACCACAAGTAAAGTAGCCTTGCAATAGCGCTGTGAAGACTCTTATTTATAAATATAATAATTTCAGAAGTACAATATACACGTACTTGAACATTAAGTCTTCAAAACAAGATAAAAGTTACATAGCAAGCACATACATGATCTCAAACTATTACTTATCTTCAGTTTTTTTCCATGATAATAGCGGGAGTTAGTGTCCTCCACCTTCTGTGCTCTCCTTGGAACTGTGGAACATTCCTTGGCAGGGGTAGTTCCCTAGTGGACACGCATGATGTATTTCCTCACCAGCAGGGGTACTCCTTCCATCAACAGAACTAGAAGTCAGTTTGCGCATGTTCTTCATGTGCATTGCATTCCCTTCGATGTTCCTTGAATGCACACATGGGCATGAATTGGTAAGAAGGATTGCCATGACCACGCACACAATGACTTTCGTTGTCGATACTTCTTGTAGGCCCTAAGTAATAAACATACATAGGTTAGTCATTGAGCTCCATTTTATGCAGTCTGTATAAAAAAACATACAGAGTGACATGCTAAGGGCTTTCAAAATAATGCAACATCGAATGCACATGCATAAAATTGTAAATATTTACCAAACAAGGATATTGCTGAAGTGCAGCTAAAGGCTTGTCATTCACCTTCTCTTGGTAGCCAAAAATGTGATATGGTGATGCACTACTTATAGGAGATAAAAGTGGTGATGTTCGATTTGAACTGTTCAAGGTAAACCTTCTGGGGTAAAAACTTGATTCTCCACCAATAAAAGATACTAGACAACTGAAAGTGGGTGAATTTGATGTACCTGGAATATGATAGGTCAATTTGCATTAATTGTAAGACTCTATCAAACATTGTGAATGGACATTTACTATCTTTCCCAACATTATCACACCAGGAGAATGGAAGGTGTAATGATAGATTGAATGTATCTACTTTTTCAGCTGTCTTATTGCTCTGAAAAAAGAGTGCCTTATTTAACCATTAAATATAATGTAAAATGCAGTTTGAGATGTACTTTATTAGGGGTGACTTTGAAACTACATATCGGCCTTGGCTCAAGATTGAATGTGTTCCATGCCATACTATCTGAAATTAACACCACGACACGACATTGTCATGTTCTTCCATCTCTTCAGCAGCACCGCAGTATGTGTTTCAGCATATTGCACTCCTTGCATGTTGACGGTATTGTTTAATCATTCTATTTCGGCGCTCCCTGGAGTGAGAGTTGCATGTTGTCACAGGGTGGAACCAAAATAAGTTGACTACGTTCTTGAAAAAAGAATAGAAAAGTTGGCTATGAGCTTGCTCATTTTCTGGAATTATATATATATATATATATATATATATATATATATATATATATATATATATATATATATTCTCATCCATGGAGTTGTATTTGATTTTCATTGTAATGACTTCAGTCATTCTACTGACGCACTAAAATTATGTCCTTGTTCATAAGGAACCAAGATATGCAAATGGTAATCTTGGTTCTTAGTTTGCGAACAACTAACTAAAACTGTGTACTGAATGTCTGGTGATTAAGATGATATATAAAGGTAATTGTGGCACTCTTTCACGTAGAATATTTATTTCAAATTTTATAACAACCTGCTAATTACTACTTCGTGTAAGTACCCATATTTTTTTAAGACAAGACAGCTGAAAATTACTTTAGATAAGTCACACTTCAAATGACCATAGGTTGATAATGGAGAAACCTAATCCACCATCTTTTTTAAGACAAGACAGCTGAAAATTACATCCACGGTGTCATTATTTAAATAGAAAATTGTATTTTACCACTTGAGATGATAGCGCAAGACGCCATATATGGATCTTCCAAAGTAAATTTCTGGATTCTGCCATGAACAGTAAAACAACGTATATCTTTACCTTAGCGTTGAAGTCATGGGGGGAGTAGTTTTCTCCCCACCATCATTTCCCCACACAATCTCCAGTCAGTGGAGAATCAATTTTCCATGTTAGATTGTCAAATGTGAACAAACAAAGAGGCGAACATCCATTCTTGCCCCCTATAAGTAGCTCATCACATCACACTAAGTTTATTCTCTACTAGAGAGTTGTACGAAACCATTCAGTTCAACTAATTTGAGCAGAATTATGTAAGTATCACTTCTTGCATTTCGAAGTGCATTGTCTTCCTGCAGTTATCCGAATTAACAGTCTTGTTTTCTTATTTCCATTAGTACACTATTCGTAATGAAGATCGGTGTGATCATGTTTGTTGGGCTGATTTTTATCAACTTATGCACCTGCATGCCAAGAAATGTGGCGAACCATGGATCTCACGATGCAACTGTGCCACACAAGGAGATGCGCAATTTGATGTCTAGCACTGATGGAAGGAATGGGCCTCCGAGCAACGATCACCAGTGCCCACTTGGAACCTACCCTAATTGCCAAGGGGTGTCCCAGAATACTCAAGAAGCAGCTCTAGATGTTGGAGGAAACTAAGGGAAACTGAGGGATTATGAGATGGAATTAATACCCCCAGTTTATGTTGCTTTTACTTCCACGTACGGAGTCATTTGGCTTGAGATATGCTCCATGTTGTCAATGTTTCTGCACAGTCCGTCCATACCACACTATATCATAATTGCCCTATATGCTACACACCATCAAGTTCTCAGGAATGTACCTATCCTGTATGCCACTGATGTACAGGTTGAATTGACAGATACTCATATGTGTGTGATACTTGAGTAAAATATTTTCGAAGCTAAGATACAGTAAAGTATGCTGCGTATACACTTCCACCGCACTTCGACGCTCATCTAGAGATGCTTATGCTTCTAACGAAGCATCCCTCGGGCAGAGATGCTTAGGTTTATTCTTGTTCCGTTTTAAAGGAAAGAACACACCTTTGGAACTCTACTATGGCTCTCAAGTCTGAACTCATGTTGATCTCCAGAAGAAAGTCTGTTGGACAGATCTCTCTCTCTCTCTCTCTCTCTCTCTCTCTCTCTCTCTCTCTCTCTCTCTCTCACGCAGCTAGACGGAGGTAGAAGAAAGAGTAGGACACCCCGGCCGCACAAACACACACACCCACGGCCGCAGCTTTGTAGTCCTACAGCAAACGCAACGCCCACGTTTCTCCTGTGCACACACGCACGAACGCCCAGCTAGCTTCTGCTGCGAGGGAGCGATCCGCCCGGCCATGCACACGACGCGCACTACGTGAAGGACGCGGCCAGCTCAAACCGATTGCTGCCAACGGCCTGACTACAACCACTACAGTCTACATGCACGCACACGCTACTGCCACAAGGGCACACACTACACACGATATGCACATACGTATCCACAGCTGTGACCCAGCCCGCGGATCCGACCTGGCGCACCAACGCCGGTCGCACCGTCACGGACTCGACCTAGCGCACTGACGCCGGTCGCACTGTGCTCCATCACGACTTTTCCCCAACAAAGTCGCTGCCTATTTTAGGGTGAACCCAAATCTTTGTCAAATTTGTAAAATGCAGCAAGCCTTGTGCATGTCAAAGCTTAGGCTTCAGGCTGTACATGGAAATATACCAACAACAAAAAAGATCTTGGCAGTCGTGGACTGAAACAAGCAAAATCAGTGCTCAACTAGTTTTCTTATACTTTTAGTCGCCAACAGTGCAATCACAAGACCAACGTTTCCTGTTCTTGCAAGAGTTGGCGAAAGACAGCGTGAGTTTACAAAAATAAATTGTTGTCCTAACAGTGTTGCCACATGCCTCAAAGCATCTAATCAACGAACAAAAAAAAGACCATGCATATATGCAAATTGGAAAAACAATGCTGAAAGCCTGAAACCCATTAGAGGACATAAGCAACAACAGTTCGAAAAGGCCATTGCATGTGTCACACTAGCGAGGATGTCGATGTTGCGGATGTCTTCGGCAGGAATAGGGTCGGGGCCGGCGAAGGGGTTCGAGGCACCGGAGAGGGAGGAGGAGGAGGCGAAGGGCATGGTGGCGATGGGAGGTGGGGGTTAGAGGCGGCTCGGGTAAACGGAGAAGGGAGGGTGGGCGGTGGCGGCAAGGGAGGGCGACGGCCGGGGTGGGATGCGGCGGCAGGAGGAACTGCGGCGGAAGCGTTAGGTTTAGGAAAGTTATGCGGTATGTGATACCATGTGGATTGTGAATATTTGCATTGGTCGTATGCCGTAGCATATATAAAGTACATGGGCATGAATATCTCAACCGTATCCGCTATACATGGAAAGGATTGGGAGATATCCGTAGACTACGAAACAATAAAACAAGATCCTAGCTGCCTAATGTACATGCGATCATGAGTATCTCAACACCCC